TAATGAAAAATTTGCAAGAAACTAATAACCTCAACGAGAATAAATATATCTTTAATATATTTAGCAGATTTTAGTTGGTCATTAAAAGATAAGTAAAAATCTAACGTTGTTACGACATAAAGGCACCTTTCATTAAATGTTTTGCTTTTACAGAATTAAAAAATGTTAAATATTACGGGAGGAATTAAAGGCGAAAAAATCTTTATTAGTGATCATCATTATGTAACCTGCACTATATTTGTAATTAGACTGATATGGGACACCCTAACATTTTACCACCTGCGCGCTAACAAAAGGTTTTCCTTGCAAAATTTTGGTGCTCCTAAAGCTCTTTCTAAGCATAACGACCCGAATTATACTTTTAATTTTGCCCGAGCGCATATTGTTACATTGCGATTTTGGCCTAAAAATATCGTTCGATACATGATCGATACAAATCGATATTATTCACCGTCCCTGAACGTAAGTTTAAAATTACAACAGAGGATTCCTGATGATCATATGATGCAAACGACCCTTCGAGCCATCTATATAGGAATCACTGTTGTAATTGTTAAGCTCCCAAGAAATAAATAATACTAATACGATAACAGACCACCTTCGAGGCAACCAAGTTGAACTTGTAAAACTTGTAAATTAAAGTGATGAAGTGTTAACACAACTATATAACATATATATAACGAAATAGGCTTATAACGTTAAAATTTTATTTTTTTGTTTAATTTTAGATATTATGCCATTGGCTTTTTTTTTTTTTTAAAAAAAAAAAAAAATCGAGAAATATATTTTTGCACGGCAAAATCCAATTTTAGCATCAGCCGTAACAAATATTAAAATACACATCGAAATATATTTAACCAGCCACTAAACTAAGTGGATTGGAGAATTATGATTCGTTTTTTGAGGAATAGTGTCACCTGTCATCATATTTTTTAAAAAAACTAGTTTACGGGAGCACTAATAGACTTTCCGATTAGTTACGTTTTAACGTTAATACATATCAATACATAATTTCGAGAAACTTCGACGGCTTCAACAAAGCCTTTCAGTACTTGTTTAAAATAAGGTGTTGTTGATTTCTTGTGAAGCATAATGTCTGCTACTTCAAACGATAACTCCCACCAAAAGGCGAAGGAAGTTAGCTGGAATTTCGTGCGAGAATATTACAAATATTTCAACGAAAAACCGGAGGTTTTACATCTTTTCTATAACAAAAACTCCAGACTTATTCGCGGCTTGGAGGGTGAAGAGGTTAATGTTTGCAAAGGAGTTCAGGTATTGAGACGGGGTTTTTATTTTTGTTACAATTGCTAGCTTGAAGATGGCTGTGGTCTTGTATTAGATGAATTTTTTAATATTTCGTATTCAAAATGTAACAATGACATTAGTTGTAAACATCATATTATAGATATCACAAGATCAATATTAGTTTGTGATAAATTCAGAAAACTACTTAGTACTGGCAATTTTACAAATTCTTTAGAGATCATTTTACCAATGCTCACTTAAATCTTTGATTACACTTTAGGAGATCAAAAAAAACATAGCTGATATGCATTTGAAAGATGCGAATGTAAATATTACCAATATCGATAGTTTAGATTTATTTGATGACAAAGTGGTTGTCCAAGTTACTGGCCGATTTTCCAACAAAGATGAAGCATATCGTAAATTTGTTCAAACCATTGTTCTTGAACCGCAACCTGGGGGCTATTATGTTTCGAATGACATATTTCGCTATTTGAAAGATGAAGCTGATGAAGTCGTTAAGCAACAACAGACAGATCAAGGATCAACATATATTGATGACAGTGTATCTTCGATAACCGAAGAAAAATTTAATGGCGATGATTCGGTTTCTACTTTATCAACAGGAACTCTTGCAGATGAATCAACTCAAGAGATAGGTCGAGATTCAAAAGTAGTTGAAGAAACTGCTTCTGATATTCCAACGAAAGTGGGCGTGCCAGAAGTTCCCGCATTGCCAAAATCTGAAACAGAGGACATACTTAATTGTGTTACAGAAGAACTTGCGGACAACGAATCGAAATCAATAGAATCTGGTCCAAGTGAGAAAGCTACACAAGTCACTGTGCAAACAGCAAAGATACCTACTAACGCTACACAGCTAACGTCACCAACACAATCGCCATCAAAAACCCAAGCATCTTGGGCAACTTTGGCAGCCAGTGGTAGTAGCAAATGGGATACCTCACAGCTCGCCGAACCTAGTAAGGGTCGGGTTATTCATGCATCTATAACACGAACACCATCTCAAACATCAAATACTCGAGAGACACCAAGAGATCGGAACTCTAATCGAGGTATTTGTGTGATGAATATTAAACGACAGCAGGGAGCAGTCCGAACATGTGGCAGAATTATTTATCTGATTAACATTAGGTTTAGGGTGTGTTGATTAGAACTGTGTCCGAAAAATTTGGACTGCACCCTGATGCAGTTTTAATTTTGAGATTGAATGTATTGAGATATGCTTAATGAAAAAAAAACGTTTTTATAGAGTTTTCCCTTTATGTTAAAGTTGGTAATGAGCGAATGGATCATGATGCACTATGGAGTGCGTTTAGTAACTTCGGTCCTGTAAAAAATCTTGATGTTGTACCCGCTAAGGTACGTATCTTTCACAAAACTCTTATATTGATTTCTTTTTAATTATTATTATCCTAATTATACATTCGGATTGTTGGATCAAGTCATGTGCTTTTGTGGAATTCCAATCCCAAGATGCTTATCAACGAGCACTCCAGCAAAGACAGATTTCTGTTCCAGGTTTTGGAAATGAAACTGTTGTAGTTGAAGAACGACAAGAACGGCGCAAGGACGATAATACCCGATATCGCAATCGGCAGAGCTATGACAACTATCAACGTAATTATGGTCAAGCTCCACACAATACACACAATGGGATGAATTCACAACGTGGAGGTAGAGGTGGCGATAGGCGTAATGTTCCTCGTCCTCCTGCCAAATCTCCTTCTTAATAAAGATGGTATGTTTACCATAAATACATTTTGAATTTATGCTGTGTGATGATTTTAAGGTCTCCCTCTTCTGAATTCAATACTTAATGGTGAAACTGACCTATCCGGAATCATGTATTGTCTGAAGGCGAAACATCGTTACTTTAAAGGTATTTGGGACAATAAAAAATTTAATGCTTTATGCATTTTTTTTTTCCTTAATGTTATAGGTTCCAACAAATAAAGAAAATTCCGGTGGCGCTTAGCACAGGACTTTTTGCCATTGCAGTGCACTATTTTGTATAATATATATAATATACATGTTATATATATAATAATTTTAATTTCATAAATGACAAAAAATTTTTACTACAGTAATATATTTGTAATACAAAGTAAATAAAGGATGTGTCCGGTAGCGATTATTTGCGAACAGTCATGCCTTATTATTTAGCTGTATTTAAATTTGAAATAGAAATCTCAATCGATAAATTTCTCTAATTTAATTTTGTGAACAATTTTTTAATACCATTTGTTTGAAACATGCTTATGGTATTTAGCGAAAATGTGTTCGTCGACAGTCACCGGAGCATGATCAACCAATCAGATCGTGTAACGTTATAGTCAAAACAATCGGTTCAGCATAAAGTAAAATTTTGAGAGGAATTTTTTTTGAGTTTTTACATTGTTCACGTTACACATTATCCTGTGATCTAATTTGTCGATCACACTCCGCTTCCGGCACGTGAATTTAGCCAATTAGATATCTTCCCCAGTATCGCCAATCCCGAGTATATCAGGGCGGCCCCCCAATGTTCGGGTCGATGATCGACGTCGGGTCGACGATCGACGTCGGATTCGATGATCCATGTCATCGTCACAGCAGTTATCTAATCGTATTTTTTAAAAACGAACTCTTTTATAAGAG